CAAAGCAGAAGAGTCTGGATTCCCTCTAAACCTAACTCTCAATATATCAAAAATATGAGGATCAGAGGGATAATTACACGGCAAAGCAACCAGCGAACTCAGAATGTGGGCCTTCTACAGGACAAAATCCACATCAAAGACAAAAAGAGGGAGGGAAGCTCATAGATAAGAAGAGGCTTGAAAGGGGCCCAGTGGCTGACACCTGTAATCCCAGCACTCTGGGAGGCCAAAACAGGTAAATCGCTTGAACTCAGGAGTTAGAGACCAGCCTGAGCAAGAGTGAGACCCCATCTCTACTGAAAATGGAAAAACTAGCTAGGCATTATGGCTGGCACCTGTAGCCTCCACTACTTTGGAGGCTGAGGCAAGAGGCTCACTTGAGCCCAAAAGTTCGAGGTTGCTGTGAACTATGATGCCACAGCACTCCACCCAGGGCAACAGAGTGAGATTCTGTCTCAAAAGAAAAAAGAGAAGAAGATTGGGAAGCTGAGGCAAGAGAATCATCTAGGCCCAGGAGTTGGAGGTTGCTGTGAGCTGTGTGACACCATGGCACTCTATGGAGGGCGATAAAATGAGACTTTGTCTCTACAAAAAGAAAAAGAAAAGAAGCAGCTTGAGAAACAGAACAACAGAGCACCATGCATGGACTTTGCATCCTGACTTAAGCAAACCAACTTTATTCATTTATAAAGAATAAATGAAGAGACAGCCAGAGAAATTTTAATAGTGACTGGATGTTAAACTGATTTTAGGAATTCTTGGGGTTTTAAAAATATTTCATAATGATACTCTGGCAATGGTTATGTTTCTTAAATATCCTCATATTTGAGAGATACAGAGTTTGGTATCACAAAGGAAATGATGTGGTGTGTGGAATGTGCAGGACAAGGAGGCATGCAGGTGGGGGAAGGTGAGACAAGACTGGCTGTGCAGGGTTGGACAGGGCTGGCACTGGGTGGTGGGTGTTTGGAAGTTCATTATACTTTCTGTCCACTTGGAAGTTTTCATAAGAGATGTTTGTCCAAAGATCAGTGAGTTTCACCATTTCTACCTGGGCCACAGAATGAGGAATGTAATTTAGAAGAGTAATTTATAGGAGTGCCATAAATAGGAAAACATTTTTTTGCTATGTGGGGCAGAGGGCAGAAAAGTAACCAGTGGCTGAAAGTCCCCAGGATCTGATCACACTGTATAAAAAGTGAGGCGTGTGAAGTGGGCCGGCTCCCTCAACCTTCCAGGCAGAGCCCCGGTTGTCACTTCATGCCTGTTCTTTCTGCTGTGCCCATCTTCCTCGTTACAGCGGCAGGGAATGAGGATGCAGAATCTGCTTTGCAGAACTTCATTTTAACACCAGCTTTCCCAAAACACAGCAGCCCTACAAAGCGGGCAGGTGCGCCCCTAGACACAGACCTGGGGAACAGCCCAGCACGGCCTACTTACGATGGAGTCACACCAGAACTCGGCCACCTCGCCCAGCCGCATGGACGTCAGCAGAATCTCCCAGACCTCGAGCTTGAACATGTTTCCGATGACAATGTGCATGGGGTGGCCCACCTGCTTGCTGTCATCTATCACCGTCCGCTCCTCGTCACATTTCGTGGTGCGGAAATGGAAGGTCACCTGGTCGCCAAGAGAGTAGACTCTGGTCTAGTCACACCTTCCAAGGTGCAGCAGGGGGCATCCCACTGTCACGCACCCCCAGAGCTGTCTTCATAGCTCTCACAAACCCGATTACATGCCTCAGGCCCCCACAGCACCCCCACTCTATGCTTCCCCAGGGAGGAGGAGCCCACACCCTCCCAGGGACCCCATTCCCACCCTCCATAGCTCTCCAAGACCAAGCTTTGGAGCCACAGATGATACATCTACCAGTCCAGAGAAAACCAGCAGACATCTGTGGACAAATACCAAGACCCCTAAGAGCCCTTCATTCTCACTAAACATCTAGGGCTCCAGAAAATTCCCCAAACCCTCTCCCCTCAGCCCATGCTAAAGTTTAACCTGCAAAGTACCAGAAATGCCCTGTGAAGGGGAACCACCTCAGAGGTACCTGGATGCCTGGGTTGACAATTCCAGGAAGGGCCCACCTGGCTATTTTTGGGCAGAATTGGAGGCTGTTTACAGTGCCCTGGGGCACTGCTGGGATGTGGGAGGCTGCCACAGTGTCTCTATCCAGCCAGGGGACCCACTTACTCGGGATCCAGTGATGAAGCTTGGGATCTCCCCCCTGCCCCCGTGAAGAATGGTCTTCTTGACCCCTTCCACGTTCAGGAGCAGAGCAGCGTCCATGGCTGTGGGTGGAAGGAGACGTGCAGCCCAGGCTGAGATAATCACGCCTGGAGTGGAGAGCACTTAGGCGGCTGAGACGCGTGAGGATTTGCCCTGCGCACAGAGGCCTGGATGAAGGCTGGACAGTGGGGGTGGGGGAGGTGGCCCAGGCTCGCCCAGGACGCTCTGGCCTCTCCGGCCAGCCTGGCCTGCTGCCCGACCCACCTCTCTGCTCAGGGAGATGCGAGACCCTGCCTGCCGCCACCGTCATTGTGCCCGGCTTTGGTTTTGTTCCTCCACATAAAGACAGAAAGTCCCCTGAGCTTTCTTAAAGACGTTAAGGGAGAGGAAGGTGAGCAGCAGAGAGACCTGGAGGCCCCCAAAGGGGAAAGGAGAGGAAGCCCAAAGCCCACTTCGCCCTGCTTGGTCCTGGGGTGCCATTCTGGTCCACACTCCAGCCACCTTCCCTCTTTCCCGGTCTCCTCCTCCCCTCCCCAAGATCTACCCTCCGGAGGCTGTGAGATGGTGGCCAGAGGGGAGAGGGGGCAGGTTCCTGGCTTAGGAGAGAAGTAAGACAGGGGACAAAGGGCAGTGGATGTGGGGAAAGTTGAGGTGCCCTCCCCAGCTCCGTCCCTGGCTCCCCTGAAAGACTTGGTTGTGGGCAGTGGGGCTCTCCCCTTGCCCTGTCCTCTGGCAACAAGGCAGAGCTTATTTGGAGAAGCATCAGGGACCCTTTTCAGGGCTGAGAAAATAAACATGAAGACTCGGTGTTTGGTGCCACCTCGTGGCCAGCTCTAGTTCCTACGCCTCCGCTTCCCAGCCTTAAAGGTGGCCAATTCTGCAACTGAAAACCATTCTCCTCTGCCGCCAGGCTCACTGTTAAACAGAGAAGGGACACGGGACCCTGCTACAGGGAGAGATCAGAGCGCGGGACTAGGAGCCAGCCCCAGCTGAATTCAAAGGGCTAATCCCCGTCTTATTCACTGACCTTATGGCCTTGGGTGTCTCCTGTCTTCCTTTAAGTCCATGTTCCCTAACGAAATGGGAAATCAATCTCTCCTGACTCCCTCTCCTGGGATGTTGAGAGGCCTGGAGCAGTGAGTGGGGCTTGAAATCCAGCAGCCCTGAAAGTCTCGCCCCCTGTTAGGAGCCGTTGGGGTAGACGAGACCAAACCTGGGCCACTGGTCCCAGCCTAGAAACCCAGACTGCCCCCACCCCAGGAAGCCCTTCCTGAGCGCTCCAAATCTGAGGGCCGGTCTCCATCCTCCCGCTCTTCTCTTCCTCCTTTTCTCCAGCCACACAGCAACCTAGAAGGGTCTGCATGCAGAAGGTAAAATGGATACTTAGTAAAACGTCAAAGGAAAATAAAAACGTCTAGGGAAGGCGGCAGATCACACCACAGTTGGTGAGTGGCTGCTTCTGGGATCCCGGAAAAGTTCACCCTTGATCTGGGTGAGGGTTACATGAATGTTTGCTTTATAAGCACAATAAGTCCTCATTTAATGTAATCAATAGATTCTTAGAAACTGTGATTTATTTTTTTTTCATCTCAGTCTTAAAATTATTTCTTCAAAGATACAGAAACTGATTTAAAATGGAAGGATACAGCTTGGCGCCTGTGGCTCAAGTGGTTAAGGCGCCAGCCACATACACCTAAGGTGGCAGGTTTGAATCCATCCCTGCAGCGCCAAAACAGCAATGACGGCTGCAACCAAAAAAATAGCCAGACGTTGTGGTGGGCGTCTGTGGTCCCAGCTACTTGGGAGACTGAGGCAGGAGACTCACTTCAGCCCAGGAGTTGGAGGTTGCTGTGAGCTGTGATGCCACAGCACTCTATCCAGGGGACAGCTTGAGGCTCTGTCTCAAAAAAATAAAATGGAAGGATATGCAGCAGGTGCTCAGATAAGGTCGATGAGAAAAAAATTGGTTTCCTGATACATCATTTCACTTAAAGTCAGTTTTCAAGAACCTGTTGGTGGCATTAAGTGAGGACCTACTGGATTCATTATACTACACATTATGTTTTAGGCATTTTACTATCAGTAATATAATTCACAATGGGAGAAAATTATCTATGTCTCTTTCCACTCTTTTTAAAACTCTCCCACCATTCCCACTGCTTCTCATGATCTGAAAGCTATTTAAGAGGCAGGACTGATAGATTTTGCCCACAGTTGGTCCGGGAAGGTGGGGGGGCACAAAGGAAAGGGGGTGTTGATGATCCTGATGCAGCATTGGGGGTGGGGTTGGTTTCACTGCTGGGAAGAGTAAAGGACCAAGGACTCAGGCCACAGCCTCCAGACTAATCCCCTGGCACCCTCTTGGCCCCTATCTTAGTTCTCTTTCTTTGCTATAACAGGACTGGGTAATTTATACGCTATTGGGTCTGGAGGCAGGGAAGTCCAGTTGCATGGCACAGGCCTCTGGTGAGAGCCTCTCACTGCATCATCACGTGGGGAAGGGCCAGAGTGCACCAGCTCAGATCTCTCTTCCTCTTCTTTTAAAGCCACCATTCTCATCATGTGGACCCCACTCCAATATCTGATATTCCTATCTCATCCTAATTATCTCCCAAAAGCCTCACCTGCAAATGCCAACAACATATGAATTTGGGGATTAAGTTTCCAACACAGGAAATTTGGGGGACACATTCAGCCCCCAAACCAATTTCCTCATGGACTTTATAAAAATGTGACTCTAAAAAAGCACTCCTCTCTTAAAATTTAGCAAACACTTCCCACTGCCTTGAGGGTACACTCTAAATTTCCTTCCCTGGCCTAAAGACCCTGCCTCTTGCCACCCTCAACCCCTGATCTCAGGCCCTGACTCAGCTATGCTTCTTCAAATTTACCTAGCTTTTCTGTAGTCCTAGAACTTAAAGTGCCCCAAACTCCCAACACTGGCCCCCTAGCTCCTCAGCTAAGGGAAGCCTGCTCTGACCTTCAATTCAAGTCCTCCCAACCCCACTCCACCACCTCCCCCCAGCACTTCACATTCATGGCATTAATTGCTCACAATGGCGTGTTCAGTGCTTACTTCTTCCATTAGACCGACAGTTCAGGAAGGCAAGGAAACTGGTGGAAGCTTTGCTGTGGGTCAGAGAGCCCTCCCGCAGAGCAGGTCTGGAGCTTCTCCTCTGTACCCCTCCCAAACAGAGCTGGACCCTCCCCTATGCCCAGGACAAAAACCCCTCAACTTGGAACAAACTGACTGGCTTTCCTCCTTGCCCAGAGCAGGAGCCTCGGCACCTGCCACCTCCCCAGGAGCCGGCTTCCCTTGAGTAGGGCCTCCTTCCCACCCTCGAGCCACACCACCTCATGCAAGGCAAATGGAAAAGGCTTCTCATTCAGAAGAAAATGTTTCTTCTAAAAAAAAAAAAAAAACAGAAAGAAAGAAAATGTTTCTTCCTCCTTTTCCTGTTGCCACGGAGACCATTCTCATTAACCTGGCCGGCCAGTTATCACTCTGAGTGAGGGCAGAGGGTAGAAGCTGAAGGCAGGGAAGGTGTCTTCCTGCATGCATACACGAATTCATTCACTCCAGACCCTTAACGAGGCTGTGGAATCCTAGGTTAAGAATTTGGGGGTTGGAGTCAGACACTAAAGATTTAAGTTCCAGGTCTGACATTCTGTACAGTCTTAGACAGAGATGTTCCACCTGTCTGAATCTCAGCTCTGTCATCTGTAATGGAAATAAAAATAGTACCTACTTCATAGAGTTGCCAGGAGGATTAAGGGAGAAGAAAGAAAGTAAATGCACTTAGCAGAATCCCTAACACATGGTTAGGGATTGAAAAACGCAAACTATTATTATGGACGTCCAGGACTGCGCCAGGTGTTGGAGACAAGGCTCCAATTTGAGAGATTTTGTTGCTAAGAAGTTTGCCTTTGCTGACTCCTTTGCACACTTTCAACTTAGTTTTCTCAGAAACAACGACTCTTTCTTTTCTCTCCTCATATTTCACTGGTAAATGACAGTAATTAAATTCCTTAATTATTTATTATGATAATAAATACAACTGTTGTAAACTGGTTTGGGAACAAACATTTTCAAATTGCAACCCACACCCCATTAGTGACCATTGCACCTGGTGGTTGCAACCGTCAATTTTTTTAAGTGAAATAGAAAAAGAAATCTCAGAGTACATCCTACACAGTCAAGAATTATTTCATGAAACACTGTTTCAGTTCATGTGTGTGTGAGGGTGTGTGTGTGCATGTGTGTAAGTGTGTGCGTCTGCACTGAGTTTCCCACAAGGACTGCTGGTCTCCCTAAACATAACGTTCCTGTACCAAAAAAACCACATACGACAAACATTCGTTGCCTGCTTAATTCACTGTCTAGATTTCAGCTTTAAATAACGTAATTTTTGTATGGTTCTTTGATTAGTTGACTATTGGTTGTTTGACCCATTAATGTGTGTCACTCCTTATACACTAGATTTGAGCTCCATGAGAGTAAGGAACACCTCCATTTGGTTGATCCTTTTGGCCCATTTTTTATCACACTGTTTAATCACTCGCAGGCCCCCAGTGAAATGATTTGGAAAAACATGAGAGAAGAAATGTGGGAGGAGGTGAAGGGCCATGGCCACCAGGGTGACTTCAGCTAGGCTGTCAGGTGCCTGCGGCCCCCAGGAGGAAATGAGACCCAGGAGGTAGTTGGCTGTGTGTCAGCCAAGAGGTCCAGACTGGAGGTAGAGGTGTGAGGGGTGGAGGGGGCACAGAGTGGTGTGGTGGTTAGGGAGTTTGAATTCTTGATCCTGCTATAGGCTCAAGGGTGAAATTTGGGCCCATCATAATTCTCTAGGCCTCAGTTTGTTCATCAAGTTGTAAGCTGCAGTCAGGGTGTCTTAGCCCACTTTCTGTTGCTATATCTCAATACTGCAAACTGCATAATTCATAAAGAATAGAGGTTTATTTAGCTCACAGCCTGGAGGCTGGAAAGTTCAAGAGCATGGAGCTGGCATGTCCTCAGCATCTGGTGAGCCCTTCTGGCTGCATCATAGCGTGGCAGAGGGCAGCACGTGGCAAGAGGGCAAGAGCATATGGGACTCAGCTCTCTTTTTCTGTCTTTTAAAGTTCTGCCAGTCCCATCACGGGGGCCCCACCCTAATGACCTTACCTAGTCCTGCAGTCCCCAATCCCTGGACCACAGACTGCTACAGGTTGGGGGCTTGTTAGGAATCGGGCTGCACAGCAGGAGATGAGTGGCCAGCAGGCAAGCAAAGCCTCATCTGTATTTACAGCTGCTGCCCATCACTCTCATCACAGTCTGAGCTCCGCCTCCTGTCAGATCAGCAACAGCATTAGATTCTCATAGGAACAGGAACCCTCCTGTAAACTGTGCGTGTGAGCGATGTAGGTCGCACCCTCCTTACGAGAATCTAACTCCTGATGATCTGAAGTGGAGCTGAGAACATAAGCAACACACTTCAGGTATCACTGTCTCCCATCACCCCAGATGGGACTGTCTAGTTGCAAGGAAACAAGCTCAGGGCTCCCACTGATTCTGCATTAGGGTGAGTTGTATAATTA